TTTTAATCAATGCAATGCTTTCTCTCTCATGACACATAATCATTCATACAGCAAATATTTCTGACAGTACATGCCAAGTACTGTTCTAGATTGATCTATATTGCATCATCAATGATAAACTTGTAATTCCAGCACTTGGGAAGTACAGGCAGGAAGATCAAAAGATCAAAGTTACCCTTGTTTCATCTTTTTTCTGGGATCCCCTTCAGGAGTGCTTGGGATTGAACCCAAGCCTTGCTTATGCATGGTAGGTGTGGTGGTTTAATAAGAACGGCCCCCATAGATGCATGTGTTTGAATGCTTGGCCCCCAGGGAGTGGCACTCTTAGGAGGTGTGGCCTTGTTGGAGGAAGTGTGCCACTGTGGAGGAGGGCTTTGAGGTCCCAGCTGCTTAAGTCCAGGCTCAGTGGCACACAGTGCTTTTCTTGCTGCCTGCAGATCAAGATGTAGAACTCTCAGCTCCTTCTCCAGCACCATGTCTACCTGCATACTGCCATGCTTTCCACCATGATAACGACATACTAAACCTCTGAATGTGTAAGCCAGCCCAATTACATGTTTTCTTTTATAAGAGTTGCTGTGGTCATGGTGTCTCTTCGCAGCAATAGAAACCTTAACTAATACACTAGGCAAGCACTCTACCACTGATCTAGATTCCCAGTCCAGATACATAGTATTATTACAAACTTTATGTAACATAAAATTGCTCTTCACAAATATGTGATTCAATGGATGTTTTTAGTATATTCACAAGGATGTGCAATGCTAATTCCAGAACATTTTCATCACTTCAAAAAGAAACCGATTAACAGTCACTCTTCATCCTTCCTTTTGGGTCCTAGTGACCCTAATCTATCTCAATGGATTAGTCTACTCTGGATATTTCATGTAAGTAGAATCCTAAAACTATACAATAATGCAGTTATTAAATGAAGGAGTTCTCTCTACCATTGTGTTTTCGAGTTTCATTCATATAACCTCTATCAGCACTTTATTCCTTTTTATGACTGTTAGTTCATGTACAGAAACCATTATTGCTTTAATCTATTGATGAATATTTGAGTTGTTTCCAGGTTTTGGTTATTTCAAATAATGCTGCAGCCTGGTGTGGTCGTATACATCTGTAATCCTAGTACTTGGAAGATAGAGGCATGAGCATCAGAAATTCAAGGTCATTCTTGTCTACACAGGGAATAAAGAGCTAACTTAGGCTATGTAATACTTGGTCTCCAAAATATAAAACTAGGCCTGGAAAGATAGCTTAGTTAGTAAAAAAGCACTTGCATACCTAGTAGGATCCCTAGCACACACCTACAAATCCAGGCACAACTGTGTGCATCTGTAATCCCAGTGCTGGGGAGGTGGAAACAGGAGGACCCCTTGGGCTTGATGGCTAAGGAGTCTAGCCAATCAGTGAGCTTTAGGGTTGGTAAAGAGCCTATTTCAAAAACACAAGGCAGAGAAATGATTGTGGCAGACACCCTCTATCTACCTCTGATCTCCACATGCTTGTGTATCCCCACATTCAAACAGGTACACACACACACACACACACACACACACACACACACACACACACAC